GGGGGGGGGGGGGGGGGGGGGGGGGGGGGGGGGGGGGCTTTCGAGGATCGCGGCCCTCTTTACCCGGTTCTGCTCCACTGGGGCTCTCCGTGGAGCCAGGGGGTTGTCTGGGTTGTGGGATGGCCCTGGTTGAAGAATCCGGGCCAGAAGCGCCGCTGTCCTCGGCTACTGCGTTCTGCCTCATAAATTTGTTGCTTTAGATAGACCCAGCAGCAGGATCTGTGGCCATTGGTGGTTCCACCACCTGTAACTTTCTCTCAGAGGCTTTGACAGCCCCAGCGACGCGTAGACCCACCGGCGCTATTAGCGTCCACCAATTAAATCCTGAAGGGGTACGGCCTTGACCTGCGAGGGCTCCTGAGGCCAGACGCCCTCTTTTGAAAGACGATTCTTCATCTTGTGAAGACGCAGGGAGCCGCCCGTAGAGGGAGTATCACGAGTGCTTGCCGCTAAGGATGCTTGAGCGTGTCTTGCTCCCCTCTTGTCGGCCGATAGCCGTAGATGCCTCCTCGTATGGGTTGGGACTCGAAGAACCTTGTTCGGACGCCATAGGTCCCTCCTCGTTTGAGTCGAATGCCATAGCTTTCTCCTCCTCCGGGTCGACCGCCATAGATTCCTCCTCGTCTGGGTCTGGCGCCAAAGGTTCCTCGCCTGAGAAATGGGAACGAGAAGGTGGGGCACGAAACAGGATGGCTTGAGATGATGCGTGAGGACCGCCAAGGCCTGGCCGAGAAACTTGCGCGACCCAAGGGAGGAATCCTTCTCGCTTTGATAATACCTTCAATTCGCCACCTGTCCTTGTGGATGGTCGACCACCCGTCGAACATGCCTGTCGGGGTGTATGTAGTCGTTCCCCCCCCCAGAATTCTTGTAAGCTTACAGTTTCTATCGATGTTTTGCGGGAAACGAAAATTCGAGGCCCCTATCGGTACGTTTGAGTTCGTTCCACGCAACATCAATGTACACGGTTCTTCGGCGCGACACTTCCCTGCAGGAGTTCACGCAAGCTTTGCTCGATCGTTGCAAGCGTTGGCCTTGCTTTCCATGCCAATCAGCCTTACCCCATAAGAACTCAGGCCTCGGTAACCCATAGAGTCACGCCAACCACAACTGGTACAGAAAGTATTGGTCGAAAACAAATACTGGAGAGGGTGAGAAGTCGTTGGGAAATATCAGCCTCGACGGCAATGCCAGCATCAGCCACGCTACGGGGGAAACTAACTGGTCGAGCGTTTGTGCGCAAAATCAGACGCCAGTAACGCAGGAAAACATGCTCGTCAAAATCACGGAACGGAATGAACGTCTCCATCCACCAAGTCCAGCATGATCTACTAGAAATCCGAATCAACCGGCATGGGAGCAAAACCACCACAGTTACGAGCTTAAACCCTCTGGTAGAGGCCATTTGCATGGTGCTTGGTTCCGCATGAAGAGAGCACCCCCCCGCAAAATTACAGGGAGAATATGCCGTATCATCGAGAAAGATCTCAATCTATGCCGTCAGATCCAGCATCAACCTGCCGTGGAAGTCTGATGATGGGCAAGAGTTATTCAACCGGCTTTACTCGGGAGGCAGTCGAGTATAAGGGGGAAGAAAAGCCCACCAAAGCGCGGTAGCTGTTCGGTAAGGATATTCTTCCTTCCATCGTCAGCAGTAGAAGAGAGGTATCAAAACCTTCAGGTCGGTGTACTCAGCGATCCCGAAGCGATAGAAGTATAGGTTAAAGGAAACAGTACCGAACGTCAAAGGAAGGGAGCTCGGACAGGTGCTCGCCATTATTTGAAATCGGAGTCCGAAAAGCCGCAGGAAACACGTTTTCCGCTCAGTTTTGACGCGGCGAGGAAAGCTCGAGATATTTCGGCGAGTCTTTGGATGGCTAGCATATATGGCTGGAACTCTCTGAACAGCTACGGCGAACTGAGAAAAAGCATGAGGACAATCATTATGGACCGTTGGCAACACTTTAAAAATTCATGTCTTCGGGAGGGCCCACATATCCTACTGGTTCCGACTTTCCGAGCTATCGCGAGAGCACCTGCTGCGGCGAGTCGAAAACAAAGTCTTCAACCCAACAGCCAATCAATTGGCCGTTGCAAAAGGTTCAATGTTTACCTACATTATTGGGCAATCCACTCAATCCCGGCCATGCCCGGGTATGACTGGCCATGCTTTGTCATGCCTGGTCATGAGCTGTCACGCATGGTCATGACAATAAAAAAATATTTAAGGGTCTACGACCGGCCACGACGAGGCGTTACAGGGCATGACCTGTCAGTCATGGCCATTTCTGACCTTGGTCATGGGCAAAGTCCGGTGTGTAGTCGTGACCAGTCATGACCAGTCATGATCGATCAAGATTGGTCATGACCTTGCCATAACTGCACCCAAAAGGTAAATACGAAAAGAGAAAAAAGGGGTCGATCCCGCCAACGCGGCGCAGCCGCGGTCTAGCCTTACCGCTGCCTTCCAACCAAGCACCTAACCAACATCCTGTGACCTAGAACTTTCTCGATCCCTGTCGAGGGTGGTCGGGCCAGGGTCGGCACAAAACAATGACAAGCGCGGGCGCATGTTGCAATGGGTCGAGCACCATCTACCACAAGACTACAAGGTATTTTATTCACGGCGATATNGGCCATGCCCGGGTATGACTGGCCATGCTTTGTCATGCCTGGTCATGAGCTGTCACGCATGGTCATGACAATAAAAAAATATTTAAGGGTCTACGACCGGCCACGACGAGGCGTTACAGGGCATGACCTGTCAGTCATGGCCATTTCTGACCTTGGTCATGGGCAAAGTCCGGTGTGTAGTCGTGACCAGTCATGACCAGTCATGATCGATCAAGATTGGTCATGACCTTGCCATAACTGCACCCAAAAGGTAAATACGAAAAGAGAAAAAAGGGGTCGATCCCGCCAACGCGGCGCAGCCGCGGTCTAGCCTTACCGCTGCCTTCCAACCAAGCACCTAACCAACATCCTGTGACCTAGAACTTTCTCGATCCCTGTCGAGGGTGGTCGGGCCAGGGTCGGCACAAAACAATGACAAGCGCGGGCGCATGTTGCAATGGGTCGAGCACCATCTACCACAAGACTACAAGGTATTTTATTCACGGCGATATCGCCAACGCGGCGCAGCCGCGGTCTAGCCTTACCGCTGCCTTCCAACCAAGCACCTAACCAACATCCTGTGACCTAGAACTTTCTCGATCCCTGTCGAGGGTGGTCGGGCCAGGGTCGGCACAAAACAATGACAAGCGCGGGCGCATGTTGCAATGGGTCGAGCACTATCTACCACAAGACTACAAGGTATTTTATTCACGGCGGCAACGAAAATGCTGTAAAATTACACAGTTTCGGACTGGGGCTCCAAATTTTCCGGTTGAAGGGAGCAGATTTTGAGATAAGAAAGTTTCCTGGAAACTTCGTGCAGGTGAAATTTTTCAGATTAAAGCGGCTTCATGTGATCGGCTGTGGGTGAACAGTCCTCCTCCCACCAACTTCCCCTGTCCGCAGGTGCTGTTGTTTTTTCGTGGTGCGCTTCGTGACAGCTAGCTGTGCACCTTGTGTAATGGAGCAACTAGTGTATGAGCGTTGTATGATCATGACATCATGATGACATGGATCCTTTGTATTTTCGTTGGTTGCTGTGACTAAGATTATAGCCCCCGTCCTCACTCTCGACTTGTGAGCGCGGAACGCGGGCTAGGTATGAAGAGGATAAAACATGAACTCCAACAACAACTGTGAGTGAGCCAGCAAGGAGCAGTGAACCTGCTCCTTTCCCTTTTATTTCCTTGTTCCTCCATAACACTTGCCTGATGACAAGGGGCTCTAACTGCTGCTGCTGCTGCTGCTGTTGAGTGTGCGTGCGTGCTTGCGCGTGTCCGTGTCTGCGTCGCTCCCTCAACCCCAGCACACGAAATCGCACCACACCAGTACGGAGACAGCAAGTGATGACTGTACACTGGCCGACGACAGCCTCTGAACGAAGTGCTATGTCGCGTTTCAAGCGTTCGGGAGAGAGACGGGGGGGTTGGGACTGGGAGGCACATCCGAGTCATACGCTCTTCTTTCTAGTAGACACCAGAGAAAATACTCTTGCGCGCGGAAGGACGCGCCCGCCTTCACCAGGAGGGCACTACGTGCTCTTCCTCCTCTCTGCTCTTCTTCTTTGCTGGCGGCGTTGCCACCACCTCTAGGTTCGTGCGCTCTTCCTCCCCCCTGCCTCAATCTGACGGGCGTGTTGCTGACCTCAAGCCAGCCGGAAACAAACCCAACTTTCTGACCGTGCAGCCTCCCTGTTTTTGTGTTGGTGGCGCGCCAACTCCAAGGCCTTTCGCTGGGCGCTGGTCTTACCTTTGGCCGCGCTGACATGTTCTCAGCAGACTGTTGTGCGTGCGTGCGGTGGTGCGTGTGATGTGTTACTTCGAAGAAAATTGCTGAACAAAAAAATCGTGAATTTTTTTCCAGAAACCAAGCCTCCCTCGGCTCTTAAATCTGTATTTTTTTCCTTGTTGTGGGTTCTGGCGAGCCTGTCAGGAGTGATCCTCAGAACGACGACTTAACTAAAAATATTTGTCCCTATTTCGGATTTTTTTTGGGTCCGAAACTGTCAATTATTATCAAATAATCACAATCGATCGTATCAACTCTATCTAGGGGCAATGCCAGACATACACACACGGCTGGCTCTGGATTGGCCAAAGCTCCCACCACCGAAACAATGTTTTAGGAGGATGGCAGATGATACCCATCCCTGTGGTACTGAAATTCAAATGCAAGGGATGTTAGAGGCGTGGGAACTATCTACATATACAGTCGTCCCCGCTTTAAAGACACTCTTCTTAAGGAAACTCCCCGCTATAAAGACACATTTTTCCCCCAGAACATGGTGCCCCGCAGATGTACAATAATGTAGGGGGGTAGCGTTTCCACTATGCGGCCCCCCCCAAAATTTTGCTGGGGCAGCAAATCTGTAAGGCATTGTAACATCGACAGCGGTCTGCTGCAGCCCGCACTACTGCGTGTGGGTATGGAGAGATTCCTCCCATCTGCTGGCGGGTCGTCAGCTGCCGGCTTGAGGCCATGTGGCGAACCCACGTGCCAGCAAAAGTCTCAACTCGTGTCAGCGGTTCACCAGTGCCCGTGCGGGCGATCCATGCACGCGTTTTGTGGTCGGGGCATCGGAGAGGAAGGCTACGGACAGCAGAGAGAGTGCTCGGATTGCATGAAGAGCAAAGGTGGAGACCAGGCTGGCAGCAGCAGCAGTCCCATGGAAGTGGTCAGGAAGATGTCCTTGCCGGAGAGTGCCAAGGACTTGGACGCTAGGTCCATGCCGCGAGTGTTGTCGGACAACTTGTTC